TCTTTTTTCGGGGGCAGTGCTGAGGGGATCAAACCCAGGGCCTTGTGTGTTCTATGCTAGGCCAGTGCTTACCAATGAGCAACATCTCCAGCCCTAATCTCACTTTTTATTTAGCTAGACTGCAAAGAGGCAAAGGCTTGGTATCTTGTGCTTCTGTGTAGCTCACATATTTCTCGGAACTGAAAAAACTTACTTAAACATCTTGTGAGTGTGCCTACTATATCCCAGATGCTGGGAACACAAAGGAGCACTATGTGGCCCCAGGCCTCAAGGAGCTAATGACCAGTGTAGGTAGCACTGGACCAGGTGGACCAGTTTCATGACCAGGTTTTCACTTAGGGAGGAGACTGAATCCTCCTATAGCATCTTCTTACCTGATTCCTGGGACGGAACAAACCATGATTAACCAGTGATGCCTGTACCAAGAACTTGGACTCCATGTCTCTGCCCACTTCACTACTCACCTGCAGCTTTGTCCAAGACACAGTAATCTGGGGAGTTGTCAAAGTAGACAAGATCAGTCCGGGTGGCACGGCGATAGCCTTGGCGGGCTGCTGTGAAGTTGGCACCATCCTGGGTGGCCGTCACCTGCACAGCCCCATCATAGCGCCGTCGCAGATAATCACCTGTGCGGCGGAAGTCTGACAGTGCACGCCAGCAGGTGCGCAGAGTACAGGAGCCACTCACACCATGGCACTTACACTCTAGCTTCAGAAACCGACGCACAGCCTGGATGGGGGGAGGAGGCAGGTAAAGGAGAGTCACTGGCCAGGGCACTTTTTAGACATCCCTAGGGCCAAAAGAATGAGTGCTCTATGATCTGCTGGCCCTGGCCACCTTGTCAAGCCCTTAGTGATTCTCTCCCACATCAGATCCCACCCATTCTTCCTGATCCAGTTAAAGAAACTCCTCTTCTAGGAACCTCCCTGGCCAATAGTACTTGTTATGACAGCCTATTGGATTATAGAGCCACAGGTTCTGCTCACGATTACAATGTGCTCACTCGTCCTCTAGTTTTCACATTTTAAGGTATCAAGTACCATACCTTCTGCTTTTGTAGTGTGTTGTTTTCCAGCACTTTTATGTGTTCATATTACCAGTGAACAGGCTAGAACAACCTCTTATTTCCTCAGTCTTTATGAAGGTAGTTATCATCTTTGAAAAGTTACTTTCCATCTATGTGGAAACCCGGTGGAATCTAGGCATTGCCAAGCTCCTTTGCATTTAGTACTCCCCTTTATGGGATGTTGAGGCTTATGAAGGAAATCCAGAAGCCTTCAGCTCTTCTACCTTCACATTTAGTCTATGGTTACATAAACTGGTCATCCCCAGCAAATATGAATGTACACTCAGAGACATGAATACTAACCGTGCGACCACAGCGGTTATTATGTAAGTTCATGAGGGCCCGGGCGTCCTTAAGCCTCTTCTCCTTGGCATCCACAAATGCCTTAGCAAAGCGGACACCATAGTGGATGTTGTCACTGCAGCCACCCCAGTCAAAGTCCCCACGTTGGTCACGGTGTCGACCACGGGTATAGGGATCACAGCTGCACACGCTTAATTCACCCTGGCTACAGGCACGAGTGATAGCGTGGACCACCCCTGCTGATGAGATGGCATATACAAATGCTGCTTCCCGGCTACCTAGAGAAAGGTAGAGGCATATCAGGAAAGAGGTCCACGTCTGTCCCCTTCTTGAACCTATCCAGTCTCAGATACCTCCTTTCCTCTCCTCTCCTCTCCTTTCCCAGAGCCACTCACTATATTCCCCTTATTCAAGGTGTCCTTCCCTTCCAAGAGCATTCCTCAGATTATCTGATCTCTTCCCTTAGCCCTCAGTATTCTCTACCCACTTCTTTGTACATCTGACTTGTTGGGCTGACTTTACTCTTGTTTCCTTCCAATTTTCTTGGGTCTTTCCATTGACAAGTCCCATGATGCATCATCCTCACCACTGGTACACTGGTATGGTTAAGCCTGCCTGCGTCCACATTCAAGGCTTTTCTGGCCCACACTGCTGGACAGTTCCCTTACTATCCGGACCCCAACCCAGGGGTCTGTTTAGGAAGATATGCTGCCTTCCCTGCCTGCTCTTGGGGCCTGATGAGTCATCGTCCCTATACCCCTGACACCTCCAGATTCCCAACTTGTTCCCTTTCTCCTAGTTTACTGTCTAGCTCTGCTTAGCTTTGTTGCTGAGCTAGGGCCAAGCCACTAACTCTCCAAATATTTACATATCACCTTTCTGTTTATCTTTTGTTCCCATTACTGTAGTGTTGGGAGTGTTAGGGTGAATGTATCTCTGGTCTGCATCCTTATAGTACATGGATGTCCCCTCAGAATGGGGAATGGGGAGGGCAGAGAAAATGAGGGTAAAAGATGAAGATCCTAGGGAAGGCTTTACCTCTGTGCCATCATTCCAAACCACTGTGATTTAGAGGGGGCCCTGCCTACAAAATAATAAGGTACTAAGGGTCTGTTCCCAACTATATCGTGTGTTCTAATTATGAAGTAGTGTGGGAAGAGAGTAGGGAGGATCATACCTCCCCCTCCCCACAAGCCTTAAGCATACAAAGGGAAGGAGCTGAAGCAGGATGAAAGAGGCCCCTACTTCTGAGCATGACACGGCCAAAGACAGTGTGGTCCCGGTCCAGCGTAGTGCAGTTCCAGCGGTGATGGCGGAACTGGTGCTGACACTCTCGGATCCATTCTCGGGCACCTTCACCCACTGAGCGCATGATATCTGGGTAACGTTGGCACAGCTGCCGCTGCCGGCTCACCAAACCAGGGATATTGTCACAGATCACTCGGGCCCCTAGTGCCCCAATGTACCTGTAAGGTGGAGATGGCCCTGTCAGAGCATCCGATCTCTTTTCTGCATCAGGAAGGGGATAAAGGGGGGGGGGAATGTTTTATATCTATATTAGATTAGATTCCTTGCCCTTCCCCCAACCCACATTCCCTGAGGCTGATGGGTAGAACCATTCCCCACAAGCTCTGAAGAAATAGTTACACAGTTTCAGAAAGAGTAATTGGTGGTCTCCCACATTACCAGTTCCCCAGCCAAAGGCCGAAGTGACACACACTCCCAGAACATAGGCCAGGCATGTGTCATATACACAGAAGCTGTGGGCATGTCACACAAACCCATTGCCTGTTTATTTAATAAACATTAAAATCCTCACAGAAAAGTAAACTAACAAAACAAGGGTCTGAGACAACACTCTTAAACCCACATGAAGAGGAACGTCCCGAGTGGCTGGTCCATGAAGACAGGGGGATGGAAACGGGGAGGGATGGGCAGGAAGAGACATAGTGGACAATTCTGAGCTTTAGTTAGACTCATGTAGCTAAAAAAAAAAAAAACCTCATTCCCAATATTTTCAATATTTTAGGGAAGAAAGACTCCCCCCACCTCCGAACCTCTCCCCTTTTATTTTCAGGCTCCAAGGCCTTCCTTAACTAAGGAAGATTTTAAAATCACTTTTCCTAGCCTATAAGGTATAATGCCCTGGATAGACCTGCATGAACAGAAAGCTGTTTGCAGTGGGAAGCCAAAAGCCAAGATAAAATACTCCAGTCCCCTGACTGCCCAGTTTGAACAGTTATAAGAAGATAACTGAGATGGGCTCCTAAAAGATAGGCAGGTCACTAGAATCATTCATTCTCCAGTTTCTCAAGGCACTCACTATTTTCTTTCAAATACTCTTGGCCCTGGACACCATCACAAACCTTGAGAAGAGGGGCTGGGGATGTGGCTCAAGCGGTAGCACGCTCGCCTGGCTGCTCGCCTGGCATGCGTGCGGCCCGGGTTCGATCCTCAGCACCACATACAAACAAAGATGTTGTGTCCACCAATAACTAATAAATAAATAAATATTTAAAAAAAAAAAAAACCTTGAGAAGAGCATTTTGCAGAGAAAACGGGTGTATCACCCTTTCTCCCCAAGAAGCCACCAAGAGTTCAGAGTCATTCACCTATTTCCTTTGGCTCAGCAGCCCAGCTCTGCTTCTCACTCCTATCTTTGCAATCCCATAGTACCTTTGATTTGCAGTCCACTCTCTGTTCTGTGCAAAACACCCCAGAGGGACACTCCCCTCTTCTGAACAGGTGGGGTCCATAGAGAACAGTTGCTGCTGCAGACAGAAAAGCTTTGGTCTGAGCTATGAATGAGCCAGTGGTTTGGGAACTGCCCCAAAATGGGTCTAGAAGTGGGTGAGGTGAAGGGAGGGCAGCCAGTGGGGGAAGGGGAAAACCAAACTGCCCTAGGCCTTGTGTCCCTTCCCCCCATGCATTCCCACAGCCAGCCCTCACCCACAGACTGGATCACCACTGGTGACACCAACTCAAACAAACACAGGAGGGCTGATGCTTGCCTCTTTGGGAACTCAGCAGAGCTGATGGGCCCCATCTGTCCTGAGGGAGGGGTGAGAGGCTGGACTTCTTCTAACAAATCCCATGGAATCAGTGTCCCCAGCACTGTCCATCAGGGCTGCAGCTTCCAGGAACAAACAAAATAAACACCCCAGGCTAGGCCAGGCCGGAAAGGGCTGCCTGACGCACAGCCCTGAGTTACACCCACTGCTGTGGTGCTTTGTTTGGAGAATCAAGACGTTGGAGTTGGAGCTCTTCCCTGTCTTACCGCCTTTCTGCTTCCCTATAAGAGTATTGCTCTAGGCAATGGGTGTTTTTGGTTTTGGGGGGTTTTGCTTTGTTTTGCTTTTTTCCTGAGACTGCTTGGGAGGAGGGGGGTTGGATGGGAACGTGAGACCAATAATCCAGCACTCATGAGACAGACTGGAGTGGGGCAGGCCAAACTCTGGCGAAAGGGCCTTTCTGTGGTCTGACTTAAGTCCATTCTGCTGCAGCCCACATTGGTCCCTCTTATTACGTCCTCAGTGAGCGTGGGAACATCTGTTCAGAATCTAAGATGGCAAGATAATTAGGTTTTTCTACTTACCCCACTAAGTAACTGCTTCAAGACCTTGCAGAGCATGGAGCTTGCCTGTTGGCTAGTAGTTGGCCCCAGTTGTCAGTGTGGGGGCTTCCAGTAATGCTAAGACTGAACTCAAGTCCATCTCTTTGCAGTTCACCACATGCTTACAAAATGGCTGCCATGTACCCAGCACTGAGTTCATCTGTTAGGGGCACACAGATGTTTAAGGCATCCCCCAGCTTAATGGTTTGGGAGAGGATGTTAGATGCCCCTAACTCTCCAGCTTTGTTTTCCCCTCCCAAAAGTAAATTCTTCACTTTCTTCCCTGCTTCCTATACCAGCATGCTCTCCCTTCACCTGCTTTTGACTAATTCATATTTCCTCTTGATTCACACTCTGCCCCAGACCCTTACTACTACTCAAAGTATAGTCCCTAGAGCACACAAAATATCTGCATCATCTGGGAATTTGTTAGAAACTCAAGCTCTACCCCAGGCTGAGTAAATCAGAGTCTGCATTTTCCCACAATCACATAGATCCACGAAGGCAAGAATTCTTGTCTCTTGTTTTTATCTTCTCTTGGGACAAGATGATGCTGGCTATTGAACCCAGCACTTCACTCATGCCAGGCAAGCCCTCTTCCATTGAGCCGTACCCCCAACTCTTTGTTTTGTTCACATTCATATCCTCAGCACTGAGAATAGTGTCCAGCACATAGTAGGTACTCAGTAACTTTGTTGAATAAACAACTAACTGCTCTGATTTATCCCCAACTTCCATCTCCTTAGCTAGCCATAAACTTCATTTCAGTTACAGCTTTACTCCTTGTCAACACTGCCAGTCTATTTGCAGATGTTTTATGTTTGTGTCCTTTTAATGAGGCCAAAGATCCTCTTTTTTTTTTTCTCTCTCTCTTCCCCTTTTGTGTAGATCTCTTAATACACATAGTTCAGCCACGCACATATAGGATTTTGAACACAGGAATAAAACTATTAGCCTCTCCAAATCTCTTTTTTTCTTTTCAAGAAACTGGGGATTGAACCCAGGGCTTTGCACATGCTAGGCAAGTGCTCTACAACTGAGTCACATCCCTAGCCCCCAAATCTGCTCTTAATACCACAGCATTTGTTAGTGCTTTATGGTTTGTGAGATATTTTTTTGTACAAAAATCCAGAGAGAGAGAAAGAAAAGTAAGATCCATTTTATAGGTGAAGAAACTGAGGTTCAGGAACAGTAAGTAAAACTATTCCACTGTATCAGGAGTAGTTGGAGAAAATCCAGGATAAACAAAGGCCACCTGGGGGTTGAGGTTGTGGCTCAGTGGTAGAGTGCTCACCTAGCAAGTGGGAGGCCCTGCGTTGGATCCTTGGCACCACATAAAAAATAAATAAATAAATAAAGGTATTGTGTCCAACTACAACTAAAACAAAAAAGGCCATCTGACTTGAAAGTCCAAGTTCTCTTTTATTCCAGCGGTAAGAGAGGCACACACAGTGCTTTCTTAGGAGTAAAACACTTTGGCTTCAAGATTGGCATAAACTTAAGCAAGTTTCTTTCTTTCTTTTTGTACTGGGTTTTGAACCCAGGGACTTGCACATTCTAGGCAAATGCTATACCTCTGAGCTATGCTGCCAGTCCTTTCCTTTTATTTTAAGTCACCCAGGCTGGTCTCAAAACTGGTGAGCCTCCTGCTTCAGCCTCTTGTATAACCATATCTGGCTTGGGCAAGTTTCTTTACTGCTCCTCTCTTTTCCCTCACTTTGTTAATTTGTGTACCTCTCACTGGATTATTATTCTAGGGGTTAAAGATGATACTTATAAGGTGCTTGGCCATAGTTCCTGGAGTTTAGTAAGGACTCACTAAATTTCAAATGTTGGTCATAACTGTAATGCTAATATAATACCACTCTCTATTTTTATTTATTTGTGAGCCCAGGAACATAGCCCTACTCTTTTGATCCCCTACATCCAACCCCCTACAACATAGAACAGGGAAGCACATGACAGAAGTCCCCTTTTCTTATTTGTCATAGAATAAGAAGAAACCATCCATTTTTTCCTCTAATTAAGGGTAGAGGGAAGGAGGGAGTGGTTGGAGAGGAAGGAGAAGAATGTAGGGCTAGAAGGAAGAGCAGACTATCAGCTGGTAACACTGCTGTTAGCCTTCTGCTCCACAGTGGAACAAGGACATACACTGAAGTCAGTATACATCTCTTCGAAGGGTTGTACAAAATATCAAGTTTGTTGGATTTTCCCTTGGATTTTCTCTTAAGGGAAAAAAAGAGAATCACATTGGGGATCTGATCTGCCTTCAGACCTCAACTTTCCACCTTGTCCTAAGAGGAAACCACTGAGGCAGGCATCTGGGCCTGCAGCTGTGACAGGTGGAGGTCAAGGAGACTGAAACAACCTCTGTACCCACTCCCTCTGCTAGCCCTTTTGCTTTCTTCCTCCATTTCACAGGGACTGCTAAGTCCCTTTGTGTGTCACCTGCCTCTCCCTTCAGAGCTCTTCCATCTCAAGAATTTTTCCAAAATCTTTAATATGAACCATGTGGGGAAAGGGTAATAGAGGGAGAAAAGAAAAGAAGAGGAGCAGCCAAGGATAAAAAAATAGACTACAAACAATGCCCCTTGGGTCTTTAGGAAGCAGTAGCAGGATGTGAAATTGTCAGTGATTTCCTCAACTAAACACCAACTGGTCCCCAAGACTGCCTCCCACACTGGCAAGAAACAAGAGTTCATAAAACCAAATTGCAAATTGAGCTGCAAAACTAAATTGCAAATTTGAGCTGCAAAACCAAATATGCAAATTGAGCTGCATAAAGATGTGCAGTGGTCACTTCATGCTCTCATGCTGTCTCCATAGGGATCCAGAAGATGTAAGTCCAAAGCTAAACGGATCCATGAAGGTAAAGGGTGGCTTTGAATTTCATTCTGAATAATTTAAAGATTTTTTTTCCTGTCTCCCTTTTTCCCTTTCTCTTTCTAAAGGAATGTTTCAAGCCAGATGTAAGATATAGGCCGCCCGCTCTCCCATCCAGAACCCCCCTCCTTGCCTTCCTCAACACATCAGAGATAAAAAAGATCCAAAAGAGAATTTTCTTCTACAGGAAAACAGGGGTGGGGGTGGGGATGGAGAGCAACGCATCTTGAAATGATAGGAATCTGCAGCCCAAGCTGGCCGGCCCCTCAGCCAGCTACCCTCTCCCCTTCCAGCCAAGATTCCAAGTCAAGAGGAGAAAAGCCACAGGGTGCAAGAGGAGAAGAGACCACAGTGTATGTGGGGGTGGGGGTGAGGTGGCCTGTTAGTTGCAAGGGAGGAGGAGCACAGTAAGAAAAGTAAGGGGGGGCACAGCATGGTAGAGGCACTAACCCAGTCCAAGAAGTCAGTTTGATGGGGGTGCAGGGGGGGGGGCAGGTGGCCGGTAGGTGAAGAGGAAAGATGAGAGGATAGAATCTTCTCAGTCCAACTCTTTCCCCTTGCCCTGCCCCTCCCCAAGGTGTGTGGTGGGGGCGGGGGCCTGCAGCTCTTTTTTTTGTGAAGGGTATAAGTGCCATCCAGTGCTTGGAAGCACGTGGAGATGGGTCAGTTCTGCAAAAACAGACATACAGTGGATTCCCCCCCCCCCCGCAACATACAGGGGATCTCTAACACCAGACCTCACACATGCTAGGCAAGCACCCTCTACCTCTGAATCTGAACTACATCGTCAGCCCTTTTTATTTTGAGACACTAAAAATTGCTCATGCTTGGACCTGCGATTCTCCTGCCTCAGCCTCCTGATTGGCTGGGATTACAGGCTTGCGCTACCACAATGGCCATCCAATGGATTTTTAATGCCTCTTGCCTCTCTGACCTCTTGTGAAGGTCTGGAGTCCAGGCCTGCGACAGATCTGAGGAGAGAGGGTATCTCAGAACTTTGGGATTCCAGAAGCCTCTGGGAGATAAGGTCCTCTGGATAAGGAAAAAAAAAAAAAAAAACAAACGAAGGAAGACAAAGTTCCAAGTGATCTCCTCAAAGCCAAGGTTTAAGACAAATGCCCAGATTATGCAAATCCAAGTGTTTTGTTTGTTTTAATTGTGGGGATTAATGGGGTGGTTTTGCCTCGGTTTCACTTCTAAAGCTGGGTACTTAGGCGATTGAGGGCCCTGCGGAACAGCCACCTAAAAGGAGGTCTGGTTCATTGAACTCAACGGAAGGCAACTTCTGCCCTACAGGGCTTGAGTTGAGTGGAATAGAGGGGGTACAGTCCATGGGGGCCTGGGGAACCTCAACTATGGGGTGTCCAAATGCCCAGCACCTTCCCTCACCAGGGGAGTAGGACACGGCGCCTCATCGCCCCCATACTCCACTCTGGCTACTTCCCGACTTCAGTTGACCGTACTGCAGGGACTCCCTTCAGTTCTGTCAAGCGACCTGGTCCCTTGAGCTGGCTGCGCAAGGAGCTGTATATGCCCTATTGGCGCCTCCAGCCTCAGACCCAACGCCTCATCCGCCCAACCCGAAGAGCCACAACTCACCACCAGGACGTGTCTACACGGGCCGGCAGAGTCAGCAGCAGCAGCAGAAGGCAGGCAAGACCTAAGCGGGCCGAAGCTGGAGAGACGTCGGGGAGGACGGGTCTAGGCACAGGCGCAGGGGCAAGGGCGCGGGCGCGCCGAGGGGCGAGCTGCGCGGCTTCCTCCGCACCACCAGGCTTCAGCATAGCTCCCCGAAGACGCCCGCCGCACAGCCCGCAGGGGCGTGCACGGGGCACAGTCTGGGGTTACTCAGGCTGCTCCTGCCTCACCCCTCTGGGTGGCCATGGAGTTCGCAGTCGGTTGGGGACCTGCGGTCACGCGGAGTCCGAGAGCCGGGCGTGGGGTCCCGGAAAGATCCAAGTTGCCGTGTCGGGAAATCCACGACGGGGCGCGGAGCCGGAGTCTTGGGGCGCGTTGCCAGAGCACGAGGTGCGGTGTCAGAGGTTCAGAGGCACCGTGTGGAGCTGCGGGGCCGAAAGTGCGGACAGCCCCTCCAGCCCGCGGGCTCTCATTGGACGGCGCGGGGCGGGGCCGAGACCGGGGACACGCGCGGCCTTCAAGGCGACTCCGCCTGCGCCAGACCCGGGCGCTCCGCGACACCCTAGGTGTGGCGGCCGCCTCCGCCCCTGGACTCTCCAGCGCGTCGCAGCGCTGCGCCCCCACCTGCTCGGGCGCCACGCGACCGGGACAGCAGCGCCCTTCAGCGCCTGTAGCGCCCAGTCCCTACTGATGCTGTGCCACCGGGTCCTAGCGCCCTTCGTTTGGCAATTTCTGCGGCTGTGGTTGATGGCAAGGCGTATGGAATGGAAGGGGGTTGCAGACACTTCTCCCTGTTCCCTCACTTACAGTGACAGTGGAGCTGAGCCACAAGATGCACTCATTTCGTTGGGTCCTCTCCATCTTGCACTTCTGTGAAATGGGTAGAAACCTTGCCACCGGAGTTGCAGGAGAATCTTAACTCCCTTTTCAACACTGCCTACAGAGGCGCGGTGGGCATCTGGTTTCAGGTAGGGGATTCTCTGATTCCCTACATCTTCCGATCCACTGCACTGATCTCCCCTTTCACCACAACATTTAGACACAATGCCTACCCACCTGCCCCGCCCGGGTGTTTTCTCCAGCCTGGGATCGGGGAATCAATCAATGGCGGAAGCCAAGAAGGCACACCTGCGGACCCGACGCGGACGCCCAGGCCCTTACGTCCGGTTTTCCGCAGAGCTCAGTCTCTCCCCCAGTGTCCTCCACCCCTTCGGGCGGGGCTGCGAGAAGGAAAGAATCAGAAACAGCTGGGCGGTATTCCCGCACCGGAGGCCAGGGTGGGGGTCCTGCTGAGAGAATGGAGGCCCTGGACCTTTTCTCCCCTTCGCCTTTCCATCCACCCTTCCTGCGGGCGTGGTAAGTGGGGAAGTTCGGGAGGGTTGTCAGCTGAAAGCGATTCCGCTTTCCTCCTCCCTCTATCCCACCTCCGCACTTCCCAGGCTGGCAGGTAGAGCGCTGCGGGGTAGAGTGGCCCTTGTTGCGGTATAGAAACAATATATATTTTTTCCTTTTGTGGTACAGGGGATGAAACACAGAGCTCCCAGCATGCTAGAAAGCGCTCTGCCCCTGAGCTACACCCCTCAATCCCCTCTTTTTTTCTTAAACTTTGAGACAAGGTCTAGCCAAATTGCGGAGGCTGGCAGGGAACTTGGGATCTTCTTGCCTCATCCTCTCCAGTAGCTGGGATGACAGGCTTGCGCCACGGAACCCCACTGTATACATTCTTTTTAAAGCTCTGGGCAGTCCAACTTTGAGAGTTCTTCTAGACCTACCCCTTGCTTCAGCCTAAGTTCTCCCGCCTAGCTCCCTCATTCCGAGGTGTCTTTCATGACTCTCCCCAGCGATTTATTTAAATTATAAAGTCCTGGTGTAAACAACGCTGGTAACTGCCCAACCCCAAACTCACCGTCTCTCTTCCTTTGTGGGGTGGGGGAGATAAGAGACTCCGGAGTGTTAGGGGACAGGGCACAGCTGGCTGCTCTGAAGCTGCAGACATCTGAGTCAGAGCTACTGTAGGAGGGTTCACAAGGACCTTTGTCTCCTCTCTCCACTCTCACCCACTTTCCCTTACCCCACTTTCTGTGGTAAGGGGCAAAGTACATTCATCAATTCAATAAATATTTATTTGTTCCCTGTCATGTGCTAGGACTATGCTAGGCACTTGGTGTGTATCAGTGAGTACAGGAAAGCAAAACAATTTCTGCCCTCATGGAGTTTGTATTCTACTGGGTGCTTGGGGGGACAATAGACATCAGAAGTAAAGCTTAGAGAAGCTAGAATGGTAAGTGCAATAGGAAAAAAAAAAATAGGGCAGGGTCAGGGGACAGGTTGCAGTTGTAACCAGGATGATCATGACTGTGACAGTCAAGCAGAGACTTAAGAAAGCGAGGAAACAAGCCTGGTGGCCTCAAGGAGGGAAAAGCAAGGAGCTACTCTAAGGTGTGTAGGGGACAGCAAGAGTGAGCTAGGGAGGAAGAGTTTGGACAGGTAGTGGAGGGTGGGCTGAGTTAAGGAGGAGAGAAGTGCCTACCACCATTGGTCTGTGCAGGCCTGGGTGGGGGGAGCTAAACTGGAGTTGAAGCGGGTTGGATACAGAGACCAAGCAGGGCCAGCATGGTGTTCATGTCCCATCTGGCCATCCGACTCCCCTTCTTTCTTTCCTTCAGTGTGGTAGGCTCTAGATGACCTGCTGTATTCTTAGAATTGCACAGAGTCCAAGAATTTCCCTGAGAGAGGCAGGTGGCAGAGGAGTGAGCTCAGGTTCCTTACTGGATAGGCCCCTTTTCCTTGGACCACTCTTTCACCTCCTCCCAGCCCAACCCCACCCCTTTGCAGGATAGCAGTCTTCCAGCTCCAGCAGCCTCTCCCAGACTCCCCTGTGTGCTTAGACCTGGGTGTGACCCTGGCCTTGTGTTTATTTCTACATATGGGCCTGGGGTTGTGAGTGAGGAGGAGTTGGAGATGATCACATCTAACCTTGGGTGGACTCACCCATATGGGCCCCAAACTCAATTCTGAGGCCCCTTATTTGGTTTCAGCAGTCTTCACAGTTAAGTGGGACGTGTCTTGGCACAACATAGATGCTGAATGATTAGTGAATGTTTCTGAGCTGAGGGGCCCCCCCAGAAACATCAGCAACTCTGAAATGGAGGGAAGTGAATGAAGGGACAGGCCACCTCTGCCCTAAAGTGGGCAACCCAGAATGGGGCTTTGCTTCTTCTACTCCTCTCCCCCTCCCCCAGCCCCCAGTTCCCCAGGAGGAACCCCAGGCTGCAGGAGCCAGCTGACTGCAAGAACTGCACTCAACCACTTAACTAGAGAACAACTACGGAGCCAGAGAAGAGGTTTTCTGGGATCTGCCACTTTGGAGCTTCAAATCTCAAAATAAACTTTCAGTCTCAAGGTCCTAGATACTATTGGAGAGCTCAGCTCCTCACGCAAGGGCCAGTTTGGGGGCTTCCAGGCAGAGGGTCAAGGCCAGAGGCTCAGGCTAGCTCCCGACCTGTTTCTCTGGCTTATCCCCAAACCCACTGGAGTCAGGGGGAAGAGTTTCTGGTTTGAGACTCAAGTACTGGTTTCCACGGGCCTGCATGGAGTCAAGTCAGCACTTATTAAGCACCTGCTGTATGCCCACCACTGGCCAGGGCATCCTAAATGACATGGAAGGAGAATGGAAGGAGAAAAAGTTCTTACTCCCAAGGCATTTTCATGCAAATGTAATAAAGCCAGCTGAGGATGGTACTCTAGGTTCTGCTGGGGTTCAAGGCTAAATACTGCAGACATGTTGTGCAGTAGCATCAGTAGAGACCTGGGCAAGAATCCCAGGCCACCCCCCTACCCCCCTACCCCCCATCCCACTCCTCCTCGGGCTGCCGGATTCTCTGGAGCTTCCAGCAGACAGCTTCCACCTAACCATCAGAGCTGGTTTTCCTTATGGTGCCACTACAGCCCCCTGCCCTTTGCATAAGTGAGTGCCGAAAGGGAAAAGGTTCCCTCTCACCCTTGATGTTTCATCTCACGCTCTGCTCCCTAGTGAGGCCACTTAGGGTTAAGATCCATTTTTCACCCTATTCTCAGCTGTATATAGATGAATGACTTTGAATTCTTACTGGCCCTTGGATGGGAGTGGAGATGAGCTAAGGGGAGCTGGGTGTGGGTAAACAGCTCTTACTCCGCCCTGGCCTATCCTCCAAAAGGCCCCCCTTTCCTGGGCCCCTTTGGCGATGACCTTCTCTTTCCCGGTGGGTGGGAGATGGTGTGGATGGTAATGAGCAGAGAGAAAGGCCAAGAAGGGGCTGGGGGGAGGTTTGGATGGGAGTCAAGGAATTCCTGAGCCTGCTACTTGCACAAGGGGCCCCGAGACGCCTTTCCTGAGATTTCTTTGCAAACCAAGGCAGGTCTCATTTGAATTGGGGCCAGGTTCACACAGGCCCCTAGTACTCCACCTCCTGCCCCTCGGCATCAAGCAGAGAAAAGAGAGCTTGGGAAGAACCCGGGGCTTTTAAGGGGGGTGACGTGGGGATCCATGCTTTCTACACAGCCTGGCTGGCCTCCTCTTGGTATTTATGAGCTCCCAGGCGAGACATGGAACGTGTCTCAAAGAGGCCAGGCCAAACAGGCTTCGGAGGGAAGGAGCATCCAGCCCCTAATCAAGGGAAGGGCTTGGTGGGGCAGTGTCCTCTGCATCCAGCTAGTGGCTAAACAGGGAGGGCAAACTACTCTCTAGGACACAGGAAAAGAGGGATTCAGGAACTAGGGGAAAGAGGAGATTTGGGGAGGCAGGATCACCAGGGCAAGGCATAAAGGGGGGGTCTGGGGCCTTTTAGCACTTTGGCTGTAATCAGTCTGGAGCCAGGCGGTGGGCGGGCTGAAGGCCATCCTGGGCGGGTGGCCCAGGTTCTGTGTGAGGCCAGTGGGTGTGCTGCTGGGATCTTGGGTGGTCACTGACCGACCTCTTCCCAAGGGAGTGTTCCCATTTTGTCCCCAGACCCTTTTTCCAGTCTGCCTGTAGAAAATAGGTTAAGCATTGAGCTTTTTTTCTCTCCCCACCACCTGTTCTAGGCCCCCAAATGATCTGGAAGGGTGATTTACTTCCAGTAAACAAATATCTGCAGATCCCACTATCTGCGTTATTCTCCTCTGCCCTCCTCAGCCCACTCTGCCCTCCTCAGCCCACTTTGCCCCTGTTCTCATGCTCTCCCTGTCTTTCATCTCGAGTTCCATCTCTCTCTGGGTCTCTCAATGGCTTGTGTACTCCACGTGTATTCCTCTCTTTCTCTTTGGGTTTGTCTCCCTGTGTTTCTATGTCTGCCTGCCTTTCAACCCTGTCTGAATGTCTGTCTGCCCCTCTTTCTAAACTCTGTCTCTTGTCTATCTCTGCAGGCTGTGTTATTTTGTCTCTCAGCACGTGTCTTTCTTTCCCTCTTTGTCTGAATCTGTACAACTGTTGGTCTTGCTCTTCTTTCTCTCCCTATTTCTGTCTTTTTTTTTTTTTTTTGCCTCTTTGTGGCTTTCTCAGTCTGTGTGTGCATGTGTGCCTGCCTGCCTGTCTTTTCCTTTGTGTGTGTCTTTCCCCCCCCCCTCTCTCCTGCTCTGTTTTACACTTTCCCTGTGCATCTCCTGCAACACAATGCAACGTACACCTGTCAAGAAAAAAAAAATCAGAAAATCTTTCCCCTTTTAACTCATCCAGGCACTATTTGGGTGACTCTAAGTCACTTTACCACTTCAGGCCTCAGCTTTCCCACTAGTAGAATAAGTAGGGTGAAGATCTAGTTCTCTCTGGGAGTTTCTATCTATATCTCTCCTTTCTTGTGGTACAAGCCACCCTGGGTTCCTATAAGGCCCTGCTTCTCTGATTCCTAAAGTAGACCCTGAAGTCAAAACTCTAGCATCCTAGTGGAGAGGGGTCTCTGATACTGTTAGCTAGCAGGCCCTCAAAGGAGGACGCTTCATTCCTCCACTGCCTTAAACATCAGGGTAGACAAGGTTCCTTTCTGGGGCCAGGTCTGGGATACAAACCAGATTAGCTCATCTCTCTAATCCTCTTTGTGCTGGGGCCTCTGCCAGGCAGGGACACCCACAGCGCAGAGCGAGGGTGTGTGTGTGAGTGTGTGTGCAGATTCTTGGAGAAGGCTGGACACTCAAGGTTCTCCTCCCCCTGCTACCCTGTCCTGCCTTAAAAACCCAAATCAGCAGCTCTCACCTTATGAGAAATGTTATCAGGCTTGAGCCAAGTCAGGTTTTCCATAATCTGGCCATCCCACAACTCTTCCCTGATCTCTCTTTCTCTATAGCCTCTCTAGAACTGGACTAGCATTCCAGCCATCCCCCAGTTCTGGAACAGCTCAGACCTACCCCACCTCCACACTTACCACACGGCCGTGTGTGTGTGTGTGTGTGTGTGTGTGTGTGTGTGTGTGTGTGTGTGTGTTTTCTCCAGTCATCAGACTTTCCTTCCCTTCTCAAAAAGCCCAGAGCGACAGGCAGCACTTGGGACGTGGGGGAGGGACAGGACCGGAAGCAGGCTGTCCCTAGTCTTCACACTCCAAATTGGAGGAATCAGGCCCTTCTCTGAAGTTTCATTTGGAGAGATCTCTTTTGGCTGATAAGATCAAAGCATTCCCTTTGCCAAATCATTACCTTATTGTCGAGGCAATTACAGAACTTATTGTATTAATTAGCCAGGTCTCCAGCTGCAGCCGATTATCGCTGACAGTCGTGCCGTGCGTTTGCAAAGGAAAGGGTCTGCCGGGCCCAGCCAACCCGGACGGAGAGGGGAGGGCTGGGTGCAGGGCCGGGCTCTGGCAAGGCCCAAATCTGGCAGGAGCTGTCCGGCTGCTGTCAGCCCGGATGGGCCCCAGGAGTTCAGCCGAGGCGCGAGGCTGAACCGAGAAGAACCCACTGGTCCCTCCGCGACGCTGCACCGAGATCGCTCTTTCCTGGGACTCCACACCTGCTTGCCTGATGGCCCAGGGGATCAAACCAACGCAACTGGGAGAAGTAGAGGTTGCTCAGACCAAGGCAAGGCCCCCGCCCAAGCCCGGAAAATGCTGTGCGAGCCAAGAGGCCGGCCCCTTCCCGACTCTGTGAGTGATTCACTCGTGGGCCCGGCGCCCCGCCGCGGCGTTCGCAGGAAAGACAAGACGGGGTAAGCTCAGTCTTGGGGACTCCTGCGTTTCAAACCCAGAGAAAACTGTAATAGGAGTCAGCGTGACCAGAAGAGGGCTTGTTGCCAAGGGTGCGGGAGCGCGGTCTCCTTCCCTTTTGCATGGATCACGGCTCCTTGCAGAAGAACCATGCCATAGGTGGGACGCGGGGTCCCCTAGAGCAGTGGTTCTCAAACCTGGTCTCAGAAGCTCTTTATACATATTATCCCCCCAAAAGCTCTTGTTTTTATGGACTGTATCTATTTACCAATACTAAAAATTAACATGAACACAGAACCCACTAAAGAGCTTGCAACGACCAAAGATAGGCTATCTGAGCAACAAAATAAAATAGTTTTGGATTGTAATCCAAAGTATAAAATAAGTATCCATGAATCTACTAATAAAGAAATGAGAGAGAGAGAGAGAGAGAGAGAGAGAGAGAGAGAGAGAGAGAGATCGAGATCTCCTATGTAGAAGACTTCCTAATAATTTATGTAGACACTCTGCCCTCAATGAGCTGGAATAAATCTCCCCACTCCTCAAATTTAGCCAGTGACTTCCAAACAGTATAGCACAAGAAGGGAGCTTAGAGGATAAGAGCCAATCTACAGTGGAGAAACTCGACAGATACCTCAATCAGGTGATCAAGGTCAACATCATCAGTCAGGGTGATAGCATGCACCCTTGGTACAATGTGATGACAATGACACTTTATTATCTTGTTGCTGTGTAAAAAGAGGAACTATCACTTGTTGCTGGTGGGAATGAAAAATGAGTCCACCACTTTGGAAGAAATTCAGTAGTTTTTAGAAAACTCCACATACTCTTATCACATCATACAGTAATTTCACTCTTTGGTATTTGATCAAAGGAGTTGAAAATTCACATCCACATAAAAACCTGCATGTTAATGTTTATGGCAACTCTGGTCATAATTGCCCAAATTTGGAAGCAACTAGCATATCCTTCAGTAGATGAACGGATAAATTGTTATATCCAGAAAGTGGAGTATTATTCAATGCTAGAAAGAAATGAAGACTCAAGCCATGAAAAGACATGGAGAAAACTTCAATGCATAATGCTAAGTGAGAGAAGTCAATCTGAAAAGGCTGTGATTTCCAATTATATGACATTTTGGAAAAGGCAAACTATGGAAACAGCAAAAGGATAATTTCCAGGGTTCCTTCCTCTGTGGTTTTCCTTCCCCTAACCCCAGTGTAATCAAGAGAAAAACATCAGGCAAATTCCATCCGAAGGGCTTTTTTTTTTTTTTTCTTTCCCTGCAGTGCTGGAAATTGAACCCAGGACTTTGCACATACTAAGCAAGCAGTCTACCCCCCACCTACATCCCCGCCTCATCAGAGGAGTCTTCTACAAATTACCTGACCAGTACTTCTTAAAATTGTCAAAGTCATCAAAAACAAGGAGATTCTGAGAAACCATTGTAGCCAAGAAGCACCTAAAGAGACATCAGCTAAATGTAGTATTGTATCCTGGATGAGATCCTGGAAAAGAAGAAGGACATTATGGGAAAACTGAGGAAATCTGATTAAATATGGACTTTACTTAATAATGTGTTAATCTTAGGTATTAGTCTGTTTTCTGTTATTTTAAAATAACATGATTCCACAATTATAAAGAATTATAAAATATTTATATTATAAAGAATTATAAAATATTTTATAAATTACATAGGTAAATTATAAAGAGAACACATTTATTTGGGTTTATAATTCTGATGATGGCCTTCTTGCTGACAGAGTTGCAGTGCTACATAGGGCAATATGTGGTGAGAAACGGGGGTTGGGCACACTTGTATGCATATCCTCTTCTCTCTCTCCCTCCGTCCCCCATTGTAAAGCCACTAGGATTCAATCATGGAGACTCCCTAATGATACTGATGACCTAATCCTAATCACTTTCCAATCACTTTCAAAACACCATAGTTAGATTGTTTCGATTCTTTCAATACCTCAAGGACACTGGGGATTAGATTCCAACATGAGATTTGGAGGAACAAACCATATTCAAACCCATAGTATATTGGTTCAATAATTGTTGGGGCTGGGGTTGTGGCTCAGTGGCAGAGCACTTGCCTAACGCATGTGAAGCACTGGGTTTGATCCTCAGCACCACAAACAAAAAATAAGCAAATAAAATAAAGGCAAAATGTCCATCTACAACTAAAAAAAATATTTTTAAAGTAATTATGACAAATACAGTGTACATCTGTAAGGTAAATAACATGTTAATAATACAGAAAACACCTGTAATCTCAGCTACTTGGGAGGTGGAGGCAGGAAGTTTGCAAGTTCCTACAAGATTCTGTCTCAAAAAGTATTGCTCAAATGATGGTGGAATATGGTGGATATCATGATCCAAAGTACATGTATGAAGACACGAATTGGTGTGAACATACTTTATATACAACCAGAGATATGAAAAATTGTGCTGTATATGTGTAGTAAGAATTGTAATGCATTCGCAGTCATTTATTTAAGAAAAAAATCAATAAAAAAGTATTACTCAGTGGTTGAGTGCCCTTGTGTTCGATCCCCAGTGCCACAAAATAAATAATAAAAAAATGAAATAGTAATAGAGAAAACTGGATGTGGGATATACGGACACTCTGATTTCTTTTTGTAATTTTTTTTCTGTAAATCTAAAACAATTGCAAAAAATTTTTCTTAAAAGATTAAAATGGAAGCTGGATGTGGTGGCACACACCTGTAATCCCAGGAACTCGGGGTTGGGGGCTGAGGGAGGAGGACTACAAGTTCAAGGCCAGCCTTAGCAATTTAGTGAGGCCCTGCCTGTCTCAATAAGGGGCTGGAGTTGTAGCTCAGTCGTAGAGCACTTAGCATGTGTGAGGCACTGGGTTTGATTCTCAGTACTACGTATAATAAAAATAAAACAAAGGTCCATTGACAACTAAAAAAAATTTTTTTAAATAAAAATAAAAGGACTAGGGGTGTAGCTCAGTGGTTGGGCACCCCTGGGTTCAATCCTAGGTACAAAAAAAAAAATTTAAATTGAGACATTTATAGTACCTGGAAGGCCCTGGTTCAATTCCCAGTACCATAGACAAACAAAATGGAGACAGTTAAGAATAATTTATTTAAAATTAGTAATGGGAGTTCATAACCCACTTGAATCTAATGTATGAAATATGATATGTCAAGAGCTTTGTAATGTTTTGAACAACCAATAAAAACAATAAAATAAAATTAGTAATACAACCCCAAAACTTGTTAATATTTTTTAAAAACTTATTAATATTAATGCCATATTTTTGTGAAAACATTACTATGATATCCAAAAATAAAAGAAGAGTGGCATTATTTGACATTTTAAAAATATCTTTAAGATCTGGCTTCTCATTTGTGCTTCTATATTTAGGCTGTTGTGATATTACTCATCATGTAGCCTCTAAGAATGCAGGTAAGAAGGGCAAATAACATCTTTTGTGTGTGTGTATGTGTGTGGTACTGGGGATTGAACCCAGGAGAGCACTACCTCTGAGCTACATCCTCAGTCCTTCTATTTTATTTTGAGATAGGATCTAGCTAATTTGCTGAAGTTTTCACTAAATTGCTGAGGCTGGCTTTGAACTTGTGATTCTCCTGCCTCAGCCTCCAAAGTAGCTGGGATGACGTGTGCATCACTGTGCTCAACCAAATAATTATCTTAATATTACTAAGAAGCTCTTTGAGAACCACTGCCTTAGAAACCTTGTCCATTACTATAATTCTAGATCCCTGACGATTCAAAATCCTTAACTGACATCTCTTCTGAGTTCTCTGATTTGTCTGTAATACACCCTCTTCTCTCCTAATCACCTACCCTTTCATGACTTCCGTCTGTATCAACATGACCATCATGCCTCCAGGCATAGCAACTTTGTAGAATTAATAACCACAGTATAAAATAACTTAGTAATGGGACTCTTCTTGTTTTTCATGGGGATTGAATGCAGGACCTTGTGCATGCATAGCAAGCACCCTACCAACTGAGCTATATCCCAGCCCTTTCATAAATATTTTGAGAAGTGTTACAACCCCTAGACTAATGTATGTGTGATAAACTGTTGTTTTATAACTAGAGACAATTCTGGAGTCAGACCTCTCTTTCTTTTTTTCTTTTTTTTGCTGGATTTGATTATTTTTATTCTACTGACTTAAAAAAATGTTTTAATTAGCTACACGTAACAGTACAATGATCTTGACATATCATACATTTGAATCAGATTGGATATAATTTCTCATTTTTCTGAGTGTACAGGTTGCAGAATTACATTGGTCATGCAGTCATGCATATACCCACAGCAATAATAATGTCTATTTTATTCCGCTGCCCTTCCATTTCCCCCTTCCCCTCCCCTCCCCTCCCATCACTTCTCTCCACCCAATCTAATGTGACCACTTCTTTTTTTTTTCCCCTCACATCGTCATACCTGTATTCTGTATAACAAAGGGGGTCTTCTTCCCTCTTCCATGCAATTCCCATTCTCCTTCCCTCTCCCTCCCACCTCTCTTCCCTATCTAAAGGTAATTTTCTTCTCATGCTCTTCCCTACCCCATTTTGAGTCACCCCTTATATCAGAGAAGACATTCAGCATTTGTTTTTTGGGATTGGCTAACTTCACTTAGCATAGTCTGCTCTAATGCCATCCATTTCCCTGCAAATGCCATGATCTTGTTATTTTTTAGTGCTGAGTAATATTCCATTGTGTATAAATGCCACATTTTTTTATCCATTCATCTATTGAAGGGCATCTAGGTTGGCTACACAGTCTAGCTATTGTGAATTGTGCAGCTATAAACATTGATGTGGCTGTGTCCCTGTAGTATGCCGTTTTTAGGTCAGATCTCTCTTTCTAATGAAATCTCCTTCTTTCCCGAACATAGCAGCCTGAGTTTCAACCATGCAATGATAATGCTGCCTGGTTTAGTAGGTTTGACATTCGCTTTGTTTCAGCAAAGATGATTTTTCTACCATGGCCACAGCCAGGTAAACCCATTGAGACCAAGGGGTATACTTTTAGGGCAATTTCCTGACATCTTCAGAAATGAGCTGTGGGGGCATTCAGTTTCTGTAAAATGTCCCTTCCACAGAACTTTATCCACACTTGCCCTGTCAATGAATCAACCAATATTGTTGGTTACCTGTGGGCAAGTAGCTCTCTGAGCTTCAGTCTCCCAAAGGATCCAGTTGACACTGTCATTTTCTGCATCATCTTGGATGCTTTTGTGCCTCATCTTAAAAAAAAAAAAAAACAACTAGGAATTGAACCCAGGAGCACTTTACCACCGAGCCCTACCCCCAGGCCTTTTAATTAATTAATTTATTTTTAAATAAAATATTTTTTGATTGTAGATGGATATATAATTAATACCTTTATTTTATTTATTATTTTTATGTGGTGCTGAGGATTGAACTCGGTGCCTCACACATGCTAGGCAAGTGCTCTACCAGTGAGCTACAGCCCCAGCCTCGTCCTTTTTATCTTTTATTTTGAAACAGGGTCTTGATAAGTACCCAGGCTGGCATCAAACTGTGTTCCTCCTGTCTCAGTCTCCTGAGTCACTGGGATTACAGGTGTGCACCATTGCACCAGGCTTTAGAAAATTTTATCTTTAAAAAAAATCTTTTAAAAAATATTTTTAGTTGTAGATGGACACAATACCTTTATTTTATTTATTTATTGCATGTGGTGCTGAGGATCAAACCCAGCGCCTCACACATGCTAGGCGAGTGCTCTGCTGCTGAGCCACAACCCCAGTCCCTCTCCCTGTTTTAAAATTATAGAAGTAATACATTCATGTAAATAAAGACTTCAAACACGTATATGTAGTAAAAAGTGAAGTCCCTCTTCATAGCCCTTCATAGAGTTAAGCACAATTATTTCTCCTCAGATTATGCAATTTCTGTTATAAATCATGTAATTCTGAAATAGAACTGGGACCAAACTATTGATATTACTTTGATATGCATTTCCCCCAAAAAAACACATCTGTTAGATCTTTCTATACTCTTTTTTGTAGTTGTCATATAATATTCTAAGCTGTGCATGATCATAATTTACTTAAATAATCTACTGATAAATATCTAGGTTATGTCTAATTTATGTACTACAATCAATACTACATATTTATCTTAGAGCAATATGTGATTATTTCTCTAGAAATGAAACCTTGATGTCCATGGGCATGCATATTCTAAATTTTGATGCATATCACCAAAATGTTCTTTGAAAAGATATTATACCAGTATATACAACTTAGGAGCCCTCATTTCCCTATATTCTCACCAAATTTTGGACATGAAATAGCAATCTGATGCTATCTCATAGATTTTATCTGTACTACTCTGATTATTAATGCATGCTAGGCAAGTGCTTTACCATTGACCACATCCCCAGCCCCCTTTTTAACATTTTGAGATTTTTCTCTAGGTTGAGGGTTTCCTCTAGGTTGCTGAGACTGACTTTGAATTTATGATCTTCTTGCTTCAGCCTCCCAAGTAGCTGGGATTATAGGCATGCACCACTGTGCCTTGCCATTGCATCCGTTTTGAGGAATGCATAAAGACATATACTCTCCACTAAGAGCAGTTTCACTACCCTAAAAAGCCTCTGTGCTCCTCTTATTCATTCCTCTCAACTAAATCCTGGCAACTACTGATTCTTTTACTGTTTCCAATACGTTTTGCCTTTTCCAGAATGTCATATAATTGGAAATCACAGCCTTTTCAGATTGACTTCTCTCACTTAGCAGTATATCTTTTCATGGCTTGATTGCTCATTTCTTTTTAGCACTGAATAATACTTCATTCTCTGGATGTAACACAGTTTATTTATCCATTCATCTACTAAAGAATATGTTAGTCACTTCCAAATTTTGGCAATTATGATTAGAGCTGCCATAAACATTTGTGTGCAGTTTTTTTTTGTAGATGTAAATTTTCAACTTCTTTGGGAAAATACCAAGGAGTGAAATGATGGCATAATGTGGTAAGTGTATGTGGATTTTTCTAAAAACTCTTCAACTGTCTTCCAAAGTGATCATGCATTTTGCATTTCCACCAAAAATGAGAGAGATTCTTCTTGCTTTACAATCTTGTCACCATTGTTAATGTTTTAAATCTGGTCATTCCAATATGTGGGTAGTGGTATCTCATTGTTATTTTAGTTTGCATTTCCTTAGTTACTTATAATGTGGAGTATCTTTCCTATACTTATTTGCTATCTCTATCTTTTTTGGTGAGATCTTTGGCCCAATTTTCAATTGGATTGTTTTATCATTGAGGTTTTTTTTATTATTGGTTGTTCAAAACATTACATAGCTCTTGACATATCATATTTCATACATTTGATTCAAGTGGGTTATGAACTCCCATTTTTACCCCAAATACAGATTGCAGAATCACATCGGTTACACATCCACGTTTTTACATACTGCCATACTAGTGACTGTTGTATTCTGCTGCCTTTCCTATCCTCTACTATCCCCCCTCCCCTCCCCTCCTCTCCCCTCCCTTTTTTCTCTCTCTACCCCATCTACTGTTATTCATTTCTCTCGCTTGTTTTGTTTTGTTTTTCCCTTTCCCCTCACATCCTCTTATATGTAATTTTGTATAACAATGAGGGTCTCCTTCCATTTCCATGCAATTTCCCTTCTCTCTCCCTTTCCCTCCCATCTCTCATCTCCTGTTTAATGTTAATCTTTTCCTCATGCTCATGCTCTTCCTCCCTGCTCTGTTCGTAGTTGCTCTCCTTATATCAAAGACATTTGGCATTTGTTTTTTAGGGATTGGCTAGCTTCACTTAGCATAATCTGCTCTAATGCCAACCATTTCCCTGCAAATGCCATGATTTTGTCATTTTTTAGTGCTGAGTAATATTCCATTGAGTATATATGCAACATGTTTTTATCCATTCATCTATTGAAGGGCATCTAGGTTGGTTCCACAGTTTGCTATTGTGAATTGTGCTGCTATGAACATCGATGTAGCAGTATCCCTATAGTACGCTCTTTTAAGGTCTTCAGGGAATAGTCCGAGAAGGGCAATAGCTGGGTCAAATGGTGGTTCCATTCCCAGCTTTCCCAGGAATCTTCATACTGCTTTCCAAATTGGCTGCACCAATTTGCAGTCCCACCAGCAATGTACAAGTGTACCCTTTTCCCCACATCCTTGCCAGCACTTGTTGTTGTTTGACTTCATAATGGTTGCCAATCTTACTGGAGTGAGATGGTATCTTAGGGTGGTTTTGATTTGCATTTCTCTGACTGCTAGAGATGGTTTTTTAAAAAATAATTTTCATTAGAGCAATAAAATTTTACATAGTAATTAGGTTCAATTTGACAAAATCATATATGCAAGGAACTTGATTTCAAGCTCCATCCCCCCTTTTCCTTCCCTATTCCCTCCTTTTATTTTCCCCCCTCTATTTTATTAAACATGTGCATAAAAGTGAAATTCCCATTGGTAGTTTTATATATGAATATTACATGTTTTTGTTAAATTCATTCCATTTATCTTCCTCTTTGCCTTCCTTCCTCCCTCTCGTCCTCCTACATTTACTCCACCCATCTTCCCATTTCTTTATGATGTCTACTTTCCTCCCCAACTTGCTTCTTTCCCTTATTTCGCTCTAGCTTCCACATATGAGAGAAAACATTGAATCTTTGATTTTCTGAGTCTGGCTTACTTCGATGAGCATGAGTTTCTCTATTTCCATCCATTTACCAGCAATTGCCTTTATTTCATTCTTTATGGCTGGGTAAAGCTGTATCGTGTATATATACCACATATTCTTAATCCGCTCATCTATTGACAGGCATCTGAGTTGATTTAATAATTGGGCTATTGAGAATGATGCTGCTATAAACAGTGTAATGGCTGTATCCATATAGGATGCTGATTTTAGAACTTTTGGATAAACACCAAGGAATGGGATGGTTGGGTCATATGGTGGTTCCTTTCCTAGTTTTTTGAGTAATCCCCATACTGCTTTACAGAGTGGTTGTAATTTGCAGTCCTACCAACAATGTAAGAGTGTACCTTTTCCCCCACATCCTCACCAGCATTGATTATTATTCATGTTCTTGATAATTGCCATTCTGACTTCAGTGAGATGAACTATTAATGTAGTTTTGATTTGCATTTTCCTAATTGCTAGAGGTGCTGAACATTTCTTTCATATATTTCTTGGTCATTCATGTTTCTTCTTTTGAGATGTTTTTCTTTGTTTCCCCATTTATTGATTGGGCTATTTTGCTGGGGGCTTTGCTTTTTAAGTTCTTTATATATTTTGGATATTAATCCCATTTCAGAGGAGTAGCTGGCAAAGATTTTCTCCCATTCCATAGTCTCTCTCTTCACTCTTAAAAATTTCCATTTCTGTGTGCAGAAGCTTTTGAATTTGATGGCATCCCACTTATTGCTTTAGGCTTTATTTCTTGAGCTTTAGGGGTCTTGTGGAGGAAGTTGGAGACTGCACTTATATGAGGGAGTGGTGACCCTATTTTTCCTTCTAGCAGTTTCAAGGTTTCTGGCCTAATTTCTAAGTCTTTGATCCAATTTATTTGACTTTTGCTCAGGGTGAAATATAGGGATCTTAATTCATTCTTCTACATGTGGATATCCAGTCTTCCCAGTACCATTTATTAAAAAGGGCTTTTTTCCCCAACCTAGTTTTTGGTACCTTTGTCAAGTATCAGATGACTGTATAAATTTAGGTCTATTCCATTGGTCTTCATGACTGTTTTGATGCCAGTTTTATGCTGTTTTTGCTACTGTAGCTCTGTAATGTCATCTGTGGTCAGGTATTGTGATGGTTGCTGGATCACTTTTCTTGCTCAGAATTGCTTTGACTATTCTGGGTCTCTTATTTGTCCAAATGAATTTCAGGGTTGTTTCTTGTTTGTTTGTTTGTCTTTTTTTTTTTCAGTTCTGTGAGAAATGTCTTTGGTATTTTGGTGGGAATTGCATTGAATGTGTCCATTACTTTTGGTAATATAATAATTTTGACTATATTAATTATGCCTATCCAAGAACCTAGGATGTCTTTCCATCTTCTGAGGTCCTCTTCAGTTTCTTTCTTCAGTGTTCTGTAGTTTTCATGGAGTGATCTTTCACCTCTTTAGTTAGATTAATTCACAGATTTTTTAAGGTTATTATTATGAAGGAGGTAGTTTTCCTAATTTCTTTCTGAGTTGAAACACTACTGGAGTATAGAAAAGCTTTTGATTTATGAG